ATATTTTTGTAATACATATATATGTTTGTAGAAGTGTTACGGGAAGTCTTGAAAAAAGTATTTATAGGAGGCGAAATCGTAGGGTGGATGGGTGGGCTGGTACTATTAAATAGTAAATATTATTAATAAATGGTAAATATTAAATATTAAATATTAAATATCAAATATCAAATAGCAACATATTATAAAAAAACGTAAGAATTTTTCTTCCTAATTTGCTCAAGTAGATCTTACTAAAAAAGAGTATATGTGGCAAGTGTTTTGAAGATCTTTATCTGGGAATTATCTGGGAACTTTATGTATAAAAAAAAAAATATAAAAAAAATATAAAAAAAAAAATAAACATTTAATAGAAGATAATAAAAAAAAAAAAGCTGTATTACAATTTACAGAGGTCAAGTTATTCTCAAATAGGATGAAAATAGGGATCAAAATTAAAAGAGTGTTAATAACGATCTTAAAATTTACTACTTTAAAAAACCCAAGATATGGTGGTTGAGATTTAGTAATTTTTATACTGTTCAATTCGTCTCATCGAGACAAGTTGAATGGTATAATAATTATCAATCCCAACTATGGGTTCATAAGATTTTATCAATAATATAATTCCAGATCCTATTCTAATAAAATTTTTATTTTCTCTATGTATTCATTATTTTTGCTTAAATTAGATCAGACCAATTTATTTCTTTGGTTCTTTATTTGCAAAAATTTATGAAAAAATACACATAACATTCAAATCGAGTATTAACTTTTTATATTTTTTACGGCCAATAGAATTACTATATTTTTCTAATATGTGTATTTTTTATACTCTCTCTTTCACTCTTATGAACTATTTGATGTTATATTAAATAAAGTATCAATTTGGTGTGTCCTTATCTAATAAAACAAATTCTGTTAAATCAGTTCTATACTATTGTCGTAGGTAAAACCATACTCCTAGCATTCTTGCAAAACGATTATCATAGTGATCCTAAACTGAATTGGTAATGTGTATAACAAACAATCCATCTGTAACTATATGTGCCCAAGCCTTGATCGTAACAATATGATTGTAAGTTATGCATCAAGCCTCCAATGTGAAGGTTTAAAATAAGAGAAAGTTTAATTGAAGTTAATCTGTTTGTTTGATAAGAGAATTCAACAATGGGAAGATGGCTTGTAATTAGTGCATGAAATAGTAAATTATTCTAAAAACTTGTTATTATTTCTCTTTCCCATATTTTTATATAAAAAGGGGTCAAATTTTCTCTTGTAAAAGTGTACAATATATACTCGTATATAATTAATACTCTACAAATAAATAATAATAAAGGTTATATTATCCCAAGTAAAGGCCAATTAAAAATCATATACTCTTTAAAGCCCACTTATTTATTTTGTAACGCACTTGATAGTTACTTTAAATTAAATCCTCTTCACCTTGACTTTCGAGTAACATTACTCCATATATACGTATATAATATAAGTTAAGGCAACATATATGCCTTTAATATGGTTTTTTTAAATTTGAGTTCAGTTTTATTACAAATATTTTTAACATACACAATGATTACAATTATTAAGGTAAATAGTTATTTATAAACAATTGTGGATAATACAAATAACTAACGTTACGTTCACAAAGCCGCAAGAAGCAATAATTCTTGAGCAAATTCTAAATCAGTCTTAAAGCCAAGCTTTAAGTTTTTTTTTATAAATATAACCTGAGTTTGATAAAAACTTCTTGAGGAACTTATCAGATCTAGATCATAATGTGACATATCAAATATTACGCACTTAACATTTTAAATTAAACCAATTAATTAATTAAAAAAAAAAATAATAATAATATTTGACAAGCAGCTTTTTGGAGGATAAATAAGAAATGTGGTGTCTACGAGAAAACGTAAAACCACAAAATAACAAATATAAGTATACTGAAACAAATAAATGTGGAAAGGATCACAAATCAAAAATATATAGGGGTAAGCGTTTCAAATTTAGAATTAAATTTATTTTCACTTTAATGTCAAATTTTGAATATCAGCAACAATTTTTTTATTAAATATGTTTTAAGGTCTTCAATTCTACAATTCCACAATTGTGGAATTATTTTCACATTTGTGGAAATGATTCCCCGCATTACTAGTCAGACCACTTTAAACGATCAAAAGACCCTCTTAAATGCATGTCTTCACGTGGGCAAACTAAAATACTTACAGATTTTTACCTTCCTAAATGCACGTTTTACTAATTTTTTTATATATGATCCATCACAAAGCATTTAGAGAGGTATGACCGTAATAGAAACTAGTTTAATTGTTACAGAGCGTTATTTGATATATTATGCTTATTTATTATTTTAAAGTATAACAAATAATTATACTTTCGTTAACTATGATTCCTAAGAAACTAGTTATAATTAACAGATCAATATGTGAAAAAAAACATATAATGAATACTTTTTTACATATAATATATATATAATTTAATCTTTTAACTATAATTAATATTGTATATTTTATATTGGTTTATTAAATCACCAACGGCATCAACACTAGCTATATTTAAAGACTTACATATTAACTAATGTCAGATATGCCAAATAATAATGTTCAATGCCCACAAAAATCTTACTATAACTATATTTTCAATCTATTGCTTTGCTATTTCTTAGGTAACTTTTATGTGTGAACTATTAAAAACATATATGTGTTGTTAGCATCATTGGTGTGATTTAGTATAACTGGTGTGATTTAGTATAACTGTTTTTTATTTAATATACCATTAAAAAAAATGATAGTACGAATTGAAAGTTTTATCCTATTAATATGACATGATATTAATATCTTTATTATTTGAAATATAAATAAAGCTAAATATAAAATATTGACTTTAAAGATTTATAAAAATGTAAATTTACAACCATAAAGTTTAAGATTTTACAGTAATGCATATTATTATTTTGTTCTGCGAAGAGATATTCCACAGCTTTTTATAGGACAGAGGGATTCACTACAATGGCGATCATTTATTGGTTGGAAAGCAATTCTACATTTAGGGCAATATACATTTTCATCATACTCTTTACATGTTTGTCCATAATGCCATGGAACTTTATGTTTACAACAAGTCATCTTGTTACATTTTACGCACTCCATTTGTGGGTATGTATCTAATTGATTTTAATGCAGCATTTGGTGAGCCATTAAATATTTCAAAGATTGATGATGCATATAATATCTATTAAAAATGCTTACCAACATTGGCGGCATTACCATCATGGTCAACATGTACTTGACCGGAACCACAATCTATTATAAATCAAGCTTATGTTAATCATATCATAATTTTTGTCAAAAATATTAAAAAAAATATGTAATAATCATAATAATAATAATGTACTGTAAATACCATTTTTGCACCACTGAAATCCTGGAATATTTTCGGCAGCTGAACGACTGAAGCAGAGTGTATTTAAACTATAAACAAAATTAATTAATAACAATTGCCAAATCTTTATTCGTTATTTTAACTTTGAAGAAAAAAAAAACCTTTGTAAAGCATTACTAGCAATTCCTGTATTACTATCTCTAACTCTTCTAATATCAGCACTAGTAATTATTTCATTACATATGGGTGCAAAGCAAGTGATATTATTATTCGTACTATTTGAACATTTTAACAATTCTTTTCTAGTACAATCACGACAAATTACATTTTCGTGAGTACACTTGGAAGTTAATTTTAAAAATTCATCAGTTTTTTTCATAATTTTGCAAATTTCACATCTTATAGCAGAAAACATCTTTGCAAAAAAATATTTTAAATGAACGAAATCTGTATTTTTGTTAAAAAATAAGCGGAAGACCAAAAATGTTATTGCAAAGTTATGATTAATGTTGTTAACATGCGCGATTCAACTTTTAAACTATGCATGAAATTCTATCAATAATAACTTCTTAGGTATTTGTATCACATCTTCAACAAAGAATTTCTAGAATTTCTAAAATTCCATGATAATGATTATGTGCACATATATTAGATAACAAAGCAAATTGTGTTTATTGATCATTTTAAGGGGTCAACATTTTAAACCCCGAATTATCGTGAAAGTATTGTTTGTACATATCGAATTTTATCATTATCCAATTTCCTTTATTGTATATATTGTGTTATCGTTATACAAATATGTCCTAACATATTTGGTAACTGTAAATCCATTTCCATTTCTAGCAATATTATGAGTTATCTTTACCGCAACTTTAAAAATAAATATTTGTTAATTTTATCTATTCTAAAGATAACATTTATGTTACTTTGGATCTTCAAAATACATGTCAATTCAGGAACGACTAATGAAAAAACAACGCGAAAAATTTCAAGACAAAGAAACTCTTATTAAAAATTTGATTGGTTTATTGTTGTAAAATGAAATTTCCTAATTTGTATTATGTACAGTATAGAACTTTCACATAAAAATATTCGACTGATTTCTTGGCTGATTTTCTTTCATACCCACATAAATTGGTCATATGTGATTATCATTGTAATTATCAAATCTTTAGTTCTCAAATGAAATCTCAATTTATAGAAATTAGAGATTGATACGACAAAATTGTGTTATTATAGATTACAGGAAAAAAAACATCATGAGATCAAAAAAAATTTTACGTGATTTCGCTTAGTAATTCGCTTAATAATAATACTCATTTCTATTTTAGTGTTCATTTAGTCTCGCGAGTTTATCAAATCTCATTGAGATGAGAAAGAACCTCTTTGTGATTTACAATGAAATTAACAATTTGGTCTTTTAGAATTTCAAAATTCTGTAGTTCTTGATTCCCATGCACAAAACTTTATCAAAAAAAATTGTGATAATTTGCTGAATATAGAATAAAACTACGGAATTATTTTTCTAAATTCCGAAATTATCTCTTATAAATTGTAGTCTCTCTGCGATGAGTAGCATTTTCTTCAAATCTTTCAAATCTTTTAAATTTTTAATATATCTAGTAATTATTAAAAAAATTCTCAATCTTTTTCTCAGATATGGCATACAATACAAGATATCTTCGTCCTCCTAGTTACCCTTCATATTCCTCTGACAATGTGAAATTAAAGGGAACTTATGGCAAAGAGAAATCAAAAGGCTCTTCTGGCAAGAACTTTTTAAACAAAATCATTAGTCAAATTAAAGAAAATAGCTTAAAGAAAAAATTAAAAGCTAAACTTTCAAAATTTACTGATGATAAAACTCAATACTACGATAACCCACAAGATGATGACTTATATGATCAACCTCCTCCTTATGACCAGAATTATAATAAAGATCATACAACAATTACGATTACAGAAGAATCTATTTGGACTGAATCTTTTTCAATCAGAAATGATGCCACTGTTTTCAATATCAAGGAAAGAATTAATACACTTTGTAATATTGAGGTTGATAATCAAATTATCCTTCATCAAGATACTATTCTAAAAAATAACAATCAAAAAGTTAATGAATTAAATATCAGCCCTGGAGATGTCCTTTATATGATTAGAAAGGCTAAAGTTACTCAAGGAACGGATAAAGAACTTTATACAAATTCTCCTAAAAACTCCGATGAAAGTGGTAAAATAAAAGTCATCCTTCCAACTCGTGAACTTGAATTAAGTGTATCTTCGAATGATACTGTTGCTGATCTGGAACGTATGATTTTTGAAAAGGCAGGCATGGAAATATCAAGGAAGACTGCAATAAATGGTCACTGTCTTGATTATTATAAGATACATTTAAACCTTGTTTTTAAAAATAAAGTTATAAGCGGTTCTTATCAGAAACTTTCAACTGAAGGCATTATTCCTTGTAGCCCTGGTGAAAAATATTCCGCTTTTAATATCTTATTTGCTATGATAAAACTTGGTGGTGGTTAATATTGTGTTTTAATTTGTTCATATAATTTGTAAATTTGCTTTATATAACGATTAACTTTTTTAAATTATATGAGTGATCGGAAATTTTCTTATTGACTTTATTGTAATTATTTTCTTTTTTTTGTTTTGATTATTTTCTATATATTAGGATGTCTAAAGTAGAGATAGCCAACGTAATCAAATATTTTACTTAGGGTTAGGTGTGTTTACATAGTAAAATTACATTTCTCGACATACCTCAAAGCAGGTCTAGACTGCTGTTTACCTTAGTTTTCATAATTTTTTTTTGTTTACTCAAATTCCTATAATTTGATTGCCTAATTGTATGTTATTCATCTCTTCTTTAGACGTCTTAATATATTGAAGTTAAATTTGTAAATTCTATTCTTATAAACTCGATGTAATTTATGTTAGTTTCGTTTATATGAGTTTAATGTAAAAATAATGGTTATTTATCTCAATAAAGAATGGAATTTATATTATAGTTGATTTGTTGGTTAACGTCAGTATTTTATGCTTGGGTTAATGATGTCTGACGAACCTATTTTTGCAATAATGAAATAGTTTTGTCAGTGGTTTTGTCAATGGTTTTTTCAATGGTTTTGTCAATGGTTTCGTCTGATGAACTACTGATGATTGTGATTAGTGACGATTAGCGAAACTACTGATCATTGACGAAACTCTTAACAACATTAATTTGACTAATAAAATATAAAACTACAGTTGACCCTCTTTCGACGGTCTCCGGATAGTTCTGAATCATAAAATTTTTAACATTACTGTTATTTCATCATCAAAACTCATTTTGCTCATATAAAACGTAGTAATTTTTTCGAACTTCTTCTATTAAATCCAAGCTTATACAAAAATTGATTTTTTAGCATTGAATCAGACGCTGATATTATAGGGAACAAAAATTAACTTTACTTGAACTAATTTATTTCCATTATGAAAAAAATAAACAATATTCTTGTGCTTTGTCAATCGTCATGGATTTCGTTATTCGTCATAGTTAAATGAAAAAAGGTTTGTTATTCGTTTGTCAGATTTCACGTAATTTCTTTTTATGTTATTTACCAGGAACGGTGTACTATGTACATAGAGTATACCAGGAACGGAGTTTGTACAACGTACAACGTAGTGTATGGTTTATAGGCGAT